ATAAAGGGAAAACCTGATTTTTAGAAAGTTCATTCTAAACACCTGATTTAGTGTAATTTCCTCTAAATTTCTTTTATTTTTTTAGGTTTTTTATTTAAGTTTATGTTAAAAAAAATGTAAAATTATAATTTTGTCCTTTTAAAATTGATCAAAATTGTGGTCTAGGTCAAGTTTTTGGTTAACTAACGGTCATCCACTTGGACCTCTACTACATATTTATGAAAGGTTGGGGATTTTCATTGGCACAAATTGAAGGTTAAGGTAAAATTTGTAAAAATTGAAAAAGTTAGGGACCGCTGCTACAATTTTCCTTATTATTATTGTTATTTGTAGTGCAAAAGAAAATAGTTGTTTGAGCTGAAGAGAGTATTGTTATGGGTGTTGAATGGCCTAACCGATCCAATCGATTCGCTTTGGCTCATTTCACCGAAGTGTGATTTGGCTCGCCCTACCAGGGGAGGGGGTGGGGGGGGCTCACGAGTCGTTTGAGGCTCACCAATTTATTTATTATTATTTAAAAAAAAATTGAGCAAAAAACATAAACAACTTGCGAGTCATTGGCGAACAACTTGCGTTCGCAACTATTCTTGAATGCTAGTCGAATCAACGCGCTGACGAGCTATTCACTCAACTTCCCACCCATAGGTATTCTCCTCTAAACTGTGGATCCTATCACGTGCTAAGTTGCATATGGCACATGATTGTTAAGTATTGTGTTTGTATGCTATCAAATATTGACAAAGCTGGCATATACATGTGAATTGAGAGCCTGCTTCCATGCTCTGTGTGACTAATTCCTTCTTAAGATTTGACAGCTAATTTCCAGTCCCAAAGTTAGCAATAAAAGTATTAAATAATTTTAATTCCTACTTTTAGAAGGATGATTAATTTTGAGTTAAGATCTGTCATTCTTGTTGGACTATCCAAATTATAAAAATTTTGACACCGGATAATGAAATTTTTCTTGTGTTGCAAATTTGCAATGAAATTCCCTTATTGAGATTGACCCGCAACCATGTGATCGAACATGACAGAACGTAATATGTACATTGACCCACATGTTGTTCGGCCAACTCAAGAAGGTCCCACTTTACTTTGGATTTTTCACTATTTTAAACTTGGCCAATGATTGATGACCATTATTTTCAGAAAATATAGTT